AAATTGATCCGTCAGTTTCTTCGGTTTCTTCGAAAGCCTTTTCAATTACCACATGTTTCGGTTTAGTTTCTTTAAAAGGTCATGAAAAAAATTGAAATGTGTATATATAAATTGTGTTTGTGCTAAAAAAACGACGTTTTGGGAAAATGCTAATTTAAAAAAAAAAAGGAAACTTTTTTTTTTTTGTTTTTTGAAAAAAAAAGTAACATTAAAAATTTACAACCAGTCTGGTCTTTTTATCAAGCTTTTTTACTCTCATGATTATTTCTCATGATTTTACTTTTTTGATTTTCATCAAAAAAAGTTAAAGTAAAAAAGCTTTTCAAAAAGTACCATCCTGCGGGATTATTCTATGGGTACAGTCTATGCGAAAATACAAGGGAAGAAACAAAATTGTTGATAGCATATATATATAGAATAGATATATATGAAATAGTAGTGTAATATATAAAATAATGAATAATAAGTGTCCATGAAATAATATCCATGCCAAGAATTTTTTTTTGAATTTTATAATATATTGGCAACACGAAAAGGTGTGTGGGATATATATGCAATTGTTTTTTTTTTGATAAACCACACGAACTATAACGATAAACCATTGATCATGAACCACTAACCACGAACTAGTTTAATTGTAGATCAAAAATCTACATAAATAATATGACGAATAATTTTATTTCTTTTATGCACCTTGTTACATAAAAAATTCGCACTCCAAAAAAATCTCTACGTTAACTTGTGTATACATTATTAACTTATGTATATGTTAACTAACTTGTGTATACATTGTTAACTTATGTATACGTTAACTAACTTGTGTATATGTTAACTAACTTGTGTATACATTGTTAACTTATGTATACGTTAACTAACTTGTGTATACGTTAACTAACTTGTGTATACGTTAACTAACTTGTGTATACGTTAACTAACTTGTGTATACGTTAACTAACTTGTGTATACGGTAACTAATTTGTGTATACGTTAACTAGCTTATGTATTCGTTAACTTATGTGTATGTTAACTAACTTATGTATACGTTTAATTTATGTATACGTTAACTAACTTGGTACGTATACGTTACCTTGTGCATTTACGTTAACTTATTTATGTTGTATTTAGCATAAACCAATCACGCGATTAATTTTGTCATTTCTTTTTTCGCGTGTCTATTGTTTCATGAAAAAAGAACATTCTTCGCGTGTGATCAAAACTTTTTTTTTTAGGGATGCAGTTCAACGTTACAAATTTTGAAGGAATTGAAAAAAGTTATCAAAAAAAAAGTGATGCATGAATTATCAAATCATTTTTGCACGAAATCCAACTTTTTTTGATCCTGCATTAAATCTTTTAAGGTTTTTGAAAGTTTCAGGTTTATTCGAGTACAATGAAGAGGAGGGTTTGATCTCGCTACAGTTTAACTGTTTTTGGAAGTAAATAGTAAACCTAAAAATCAAAGCGAAACATCAATAACTAGTCAAAATTGAATATTTGATGAAATTAATATATAAATATAAATGCATTTACTATTAATTACTATTAATTAACTATTAATTGCTATTCATTACTATTAATTGCTATTAATTTCTATTAATTGCTATTAATTTCTATTAATTGCTATTAATTACTATCGTCACTACATATCATTACTTATCGTACATGATCATTACTATAATTACTATCATAGCCACTTTTAAATACCTTAAAGAATTAAATTAGAATCTCGTTCAAAGAAAATGGATTTGAATCACTCAACTATATTAGGAGAAAGCTTCAAAAAAAAAACCCCCCTTGACTTTAAACTTGCATTTAAACTTGCATACGATTTTGTATTAAAATGCAGTGGTCAAAACGCTAAAAAGAAACTAACAAATAGCAAAAATTTAAGGCAAAACCCTTTTTATTAGTGGGAACCAATAATATTAATCGATTAAATTTTGTAAGAAAAACGGAAAAACTAGTACGTATACAGTATTTACGTGATAGATGAAAGTGTGATTTAAAAAAATATACAGTATTAGATATCGACCAACCTACGCACGTACGTACGTGCTGTACATACGTATCAGTATGTACTGTACATGTGTATCTGGTATTATTTGTTTTTTTTTTTTCTTTGTCACTCACTTTAGCACTTTGCGATTCTTTTATCTTGATATGTTTTACTAATATTGGAATACAGGAATAAAGGGTAAGGCTACTTTATAAAGAATTTTACCTAATTTAGAATGATTCCTTCTACGTACCGGTACGTACGTAAATCCTGATACGTACTTACGTACGTACGTACTTTTTTTTGTAGAGATACTTTTTGATACATAAACAAATGATGCTTAGATAAGATGCTTAGATAAATCAACCTCAAACACAAGAACTTAAAATCTTGGTCAGTATATGTACAGTACATATCCTTTTCGATTCGGATGATAACTCGGATGATTCGGTGAGAACCGCATAAGCTTTTAAGTTTACTAGAAAAACGAATAATATTAAGGTTAGACAGAAACATTAAAATTAGAATGCTTGTTAAACATTCTCAACTTAAGATCTAACCTATTTGGCAACGCCATCCCCTTTTTGAAAAAAATTGGAATGGTTCATTTCCAAAATAAATTTTATTATAAGTTTTATTTAAAAGTTATTTCGCATCTATCGTTAGTTAGTCAAGTCAGTCAAAAACTAGTTTATTAGGTTCGCTTTGATCAATTGCTTGATTGTTTACGCTGCGAAAAGCCGTTGTAAACGGTTACTCCCGTTTTTGGCCGTCACGCAACTGGTTGGTTAATACGTTGATTTTTAATTTCCAACTGGTTTTTATTCTCCGTCTAACTTAATTCGGTCAAAGAATGAACACAAAGTAGAATTTCTTAGCCGTAGTAATTAAAGTTACGGAGTCTATTTATTTGTATTACAAAACTCTTATTATATACAACCTTCTTATTATAAAGATTTTCTTGAAACAAGTTATGTACTTTAAGTCAAAAGTTACTTTTTACCGGTCTGTTTATTTTCGCGTAACAATTTATTTTTGATAAACGTTAATGACATTACTGTATTATTACTTTATTGACCTTATTGTAAATCCAATAATGTATTAGAATGTTTTTCGCGTTCATGACAATAACATTTTGATCTCATGATCTTTATACGGAATATACAGAATGACATGTAAACATTCTACGTACGTACGTACAGTACGTAGTTTCAAATTCTGTAAAATATCTAACGCTAATAAAGTTAAACAACACGAGAGTTTTCCATATAATATAGATAATATAGAGTTTTATTGGATATAGAGTTATTGGATGCATTGCATCCAATAAACTTTATGTCTCCAATAACTTTATGTCCAATAACTTTATATCTAATAATTCTACGTAGCTAAGACCTTGCTTGTCTTTCACGTTTTATATATAATCTTATTATCATTTTATATATGAATGTATGCATGTACACTAATTAACAATTTAACACCAATATTACTAATACATTATTAATATTTAAATTTTTTAAATGAAATTTTAAAAGAATTAATCTCGCTCGGTTCCTGTAGTTCCTGTAGTTCTTGTAGTTCTTGTAGTTTTTGTAGTTCTGTAGTGCCTGTATTGTCTGTATTGTCCGTATTGTCTGTATTGTCTATATACACTATCGCTATGCACTAATCGCTATGCACTATCGCTATGCTAGATGGAATATCGATCAACACAATTATGGGTCAAAGTTACCCACAGGAATAATGGAACTACAATGAATATGTACGTATATGCTAGATGAGCTAAGGTGCATAGCCTTAATTTAATCCTCAATTGAGGTCTCGGCAAGAAATACCATGTTTAGACTGGATGTGTTAGAATGTGTATGGATGTGTTAGGTTATTCTAAGGATGTGTTAGGTTGTTTTAGGATGTGTTAGGATGTTTTAGGATGTGTTAGGATGTTTTAGGATGTTTAGGTCGTGTTAGGATATGTGAGTAACATAAAACATCATAAACATTATAAACATTATTACATTATTGACTGACATTCTACCCGACATACCAAAAAACTTTATGCACGCCAAAACTTTCAAATTCCAATCTAGTCAAAAACCTAAAAAAAAATTGTCTCCTAGTTGTTTTACAATCTGTATTGCGACTTTTTTGGTTTTATACTGTACAGATCGAATTGAAACTTGTTGGGGCAAAAACTTTATCATTATTAGTTTTCTTAGTTTCTCATTCTTTAATTCGTCATTATTACAATTGTTTACTGCTGTAAAAAATCTTTTTGGTGATCTTTTGGGTCATGTGGATCATTAAAAGTTCTCGTTCTATTCCTAAATTCTTTAATTCGTATAAAAGATTTTCAATCTGTAAAATCATTCGTTTTTTTTGATGTTTTTTAATGTTGGTCATACAAATTATCAAGTAATTTACCTGTTTATGAGCATATAAATCCATATTCTAACTTGTCCATCTCTCGTATATTTGTTTATTCTCAAAGTAAACAGGATATTATCCTAGTTGGGATACTGGATTTATACACAATCAATAATATTCGTCCATTGTTCAGTTAGAAACGATTATTTGTAAATTTTTTTAGTCAGCCACCCTAAGTACAGACTGTTGTAAAAAGTTGTATTTCATGTCAATCATACTTTTTATTAATTAATTACTTACGTACGAAAGGTTGGTTAGGTAAAAAAACTCGATTTTATTAATATCTGTAAAATCTTAATTTTCTTATGGTTATTTGCAAGTAATTCTGTAATTACATTTATCGTTATTTTCATTATACCTAAGTGCATACGAAAAAAACTTGTCACATGGTACGACAATCTATCAAATTTTTGATATCAATATTAATATCGATATTAATAATATCGAAAATATTAATATCGATATTAATAGCGATATTAATATCGAAATGAATATCGATATTAAGTAAGTTTTGAACTTAAATCAAGCTGTTCATTCTCTATCGCTATATAGTGCTAGCTCCTATAGCGAATATATCAAAATGGCAAGTCGTCGTAATATTATGAGAATACAAAAACAATCAACTGCCTTTTTCCTTTGCGACATTCAGGAAAAATTTAGACCTCATATTCATCAATTTCAAAGTGTAGTTTCGACTGCACAGAAAATGGTAAATTTTTAAGATAAAATAAATTCAATTCTTATGAAAATATTTAACGTTAATACGTATTAATTTCCATATTAAGATTTCAGCATCCAAAACTTTGGAGGTACCTTTAGTTGTTACTGAACAGGTATGTAAATTTTTTTATTCAAATTTTTCAAAAGATTAATCATTTTTTAATTGTTTTCTTTTTTTTAAATAGAATCCTGGAGGTATTACATACATATATTTAATCATTTAGAATGGTAGCTTTGACTTATTTTTATTTATTTTTTATTACTTCAAATAAAAGCTCTTGGAAGTACAGTTCAAGAACTTGATATTTCTACTGCAGATGTAGTTAGCAAGACTAAATTTTCGATGTATGAAGAAAAGGTTCAAAACATATTAAAAACTAAAAATATAAAATCTGTAGTTCTATTTGGAATTGAGGCAAATTATTTAAATTTTCAAATATTTGATACTTTGTTAAAAAATTTTTTTTACTAATATTATTTTAATACACATAATAGGCACATGTATGTGTACTTCAAACAACTTTGGATTTGTTGGAAAATGATTATGAAGTTCATATATTAGCTGATGGTGTTTCTTCGATAAATTATCCAGAAATCGATATTGCATTGCAGGTTAATATTGATTTATTTTTGATCATACGCAGTTTGTATATAAAATTAATATATGTTTCTACATATATATATTTTTTTTTAGCGTTTAAAACAAGCAGGTGCATCAGTTACAACTTCAGAATCAATTTTGTTTCAACTTCTTGGTGATGCTACACATGAAAAATTTAAGCAAATTTCGACTTTGATCAAAGAATATAAAGAAGCAACTTCTAATAATAAATTGTTATATAAACCTACTTTGTAATTATGAAAACTAAAATTTTGTAAATTCTATTGGTTGTAATAGCCATGTTGCAATAAATTTTTTTTTAAAAAATAAGATCATTGCTATATACAAAAACTAAAATTTTACTATTAAATAATGATTTTAGTAATTTAAATAAAATTATATATCCTACAAAACATTTACTTACAAGTTACTTAACAGCTTTAAAAATTTTTAAATAATATTTTTATTATATATTTGTTATATATAGTAATATATTAATCATATATCTATCATATTTTATACTTATAATATTTTTATCATATAATAATTATATAACTATTATATGATAATTATATTTGCCAAAAACTACAAGTTTCTGTAAAGTATATACACGGCAATATAGATACCTCAAAATTTTGATTAATTATGAAACCACCTTTTGGCTTCTAACAAAAAATTTTCTTGCAACCTTTTGGGATGTTCTATAGAATAGGTGGGCAAACTCCGCAAACTCCGCAACTCCGATATTAAAAGGTTAATGATTACTAATCATTAGCGAAGCTTATTTATTATATTGCCCACCTATTCTATCGAATGTCCAATTAAGTATTGATATTTATTTTGATCGAGTGACCTCCATGTTTTGATTAATGTTTTATTGTTTT